TATATCAATTTATATTAAGTGGCATACCTAGTGCAAAGTTAAAAAAATATATTTTTTTCATACTCCGATAAGCTATATTTATATTTAAAAATTACATTATAATATTGCAAATCGATATCTCTAATAATTTTTGAGTTAGAGGCTTCTAAAGTGTAGCCGCTCAGTGCAATCAGCTACATCCGTTATCTTTAAGCTCGTTTTTCTCAAAACTATATTTATCGAACTTGCTTGAGTGATAAGTCGGAGACAAATTATCCGCTCACTATCAAACATTTTTTTACATCTTCTGCATATAGTTCTACATAAAAGGATCTGCCAGTTTCTTGATCTCATTTAAAATCGAACTTTGGCAGGAAAAAAATACTAAAATATTGAATAAAATTCAAGTCATTTAAAAAATTCGCCATTTTGACAATTTTTTACTTTTTTCCACAGAAGATTTTTATACGGACAATATTTTCTAGTAGAAACTTTTTTTTTAGGTTTCATCGATGGAGTCACTAGCAGTAGATGGCTTTATTAAAACAATTTATACATGTTTCTCCTTTTAAATTCCTAAAAATCGCCTTTTTTAAGACTGTAACATTAGGTGTGCCTCTTAAATAAGTTTTTTGACGATGTGCTCTTAAAGTCAGCCTAATCATCCGCTGGTGGTTTAACTTTAGCATCTTCTTCTGCTGCTTCACGGCAGTCTCCATTAGCTAGTGAAAAGATTATTCCATTGTCTTGGATTTTTACAAGAATTTTGCGCAGCATGTCAATTTCTCCAAAACTAAATTATACATGAATGTACTCTAAATATTTGTAGACTTCATTTTCGTGCGTATTTTAATTATTAAATTCTTCTGCTGATTACTTGCAATGGCATAAATGCCTCTGTAGGGTGCTTATCTTTGTTGTTGTATGTCAGTCTATATTCACACTTACGATTTGCAATTTGCCAGACAAATCAATGGTAAGCCACGGCGACTGCCACATAATCAAAGCTTTGTTTGCAGTGCGCATATTGTTGTAATTGTAACCATAGTATCATTAACATTAAGAGTGAAAGCATCACTCACAGCTGTGTGGGTCCGCGGGCTGAATTTTCCAAGAGTGTCTTGTTGTATGCGTGGCAGGATCCGATGACAATGATGAGAGCACAACACGCGAATGGCGCATTATGCTGGGCGCAATTACCGACAGCTATAATGTGATACATAAATACAGTTATATATATTTACGACTGTTTTAGACTTCATTAAAGCCGAGAACACCGCGTCGTCTTTATGTTGCACATACTTGTATATGCGGCGCTGACATTGAGACACTTACAACAGCTGCCGCACAGGTTTTGTGGAGAGTCGCTGTTTGTTTTCGGTTCATTGCGGTTTTGCATTGACCTAGTTTGTTGGTTAGTGGCAGGCGGTGGGTGTGGCAGAGACAGCTGACTATATTTACTTGTGAAATCTTTCTCCTTCATTGAAGAGTCCAAAGAGATAACCTCAAAGCAGCGAAGATTACTATTTACCACAATTTGGCTTGACAGTAAATTTAATAATGGAATTCTATAAAGCGTATTGCTGTTGTGGTAGTTATAACATTTTTGTACGTTTATGAACTTTATAATGAGGAAGCGTTACTATTTTTCAAAAAATATATATAAATAATTAATAAACAGTTACAGAAATTTTTATGCTTTATATTTGAACTAACGATTTTATTTTTAAATATTATTTTTTAACGTTGTTCTAAGTGTTTAGATTATGTTTTGAAAACGAATATTCAGCTAGGCCTACAATAAGACATTAAATTTATCTGTCTGGTATGGATATATGAGACTTTTTATGAATTAAAAATAAGTTAGACACTTTAAACTCGACTGGGAAGTCGATGTGGCTGATTCGAGACTACTAAAATACACAAACATTTGGCAAACTTCTCAAATTTTCTAACCTCAACATATTACAATATATTTCAATTTTTTATCAATTTTGATTGTTAAACTCCCCTATGAAATAACGTCTAGCTAAAAGTACTATGAAACCTGTTTATTTTGATACTCATGTCGTGGCAGCTCGTTTATCTCTTGAATTGAACTGAAATGTTTGTGGTATGGCATCCCTACACGATTACAATGCCCTTTTAAACGTATGTTAGCAGTGTCACTGCAAAGAACAAGCACTTTGATTATAAAATGTGCTTAGTAATAAGGAACAACTTTACTAGAAAATAAGAAATTATTTGAAAATCATACCGTTATGTACCATAATTGCGGCACACCCAAGCTAAAAGCACTACGGACTGCATCTGCTAACAGCTCATTCATACTAACCTGCTATATTTTTGGTAATTCCTAAATTTTTAATTTTATTTCTTGCAACGCTGCAGCGTTCGCGCTTTTGCCTCTGAGACCACACTTGAGTGGCTGGCATTACTGTAAGTGACCTTTGCCGCTATTGATGAGTGGAAGGCACTGCCACACCGCCACTAGCCAGGTTGGTAAGTTGCTCTTTAGCACGTGGCGTACTTGAGCGCTTCCTTCCGTGCTTCCTTCCTTCTGGCGTATGAAAACGTCTACAATAAAAACGAGCGAAGCATGTCGCGGTCCACTTCAGAAAAATTCACTTTCATTCGTGGCAGTTTAGCAAAGTCTCTATTTTATATTTTTATGAATTTCTCTCTACCTTTCTCCCCGCCGCCCTTTCTTCGTGTTGTTTGCGGCAGCAGCTTAATGACTAAAAGCACATTGTACGAGTGTAAACACTCACACTAATGAGTGGTTGCAGCAGCGCATATATTATACAATGCAGGTGAATGTAGGCGATTTTTTAGTTTTTCATTTCTTTTATACTTTCGCCACCAAAAGCCTTTCTTTCATTTCACCGTCTTCGCCACTTTCTCCTTAACTCCGTTCTCGTCGTCACTTTAAGGACCACCGCTTTAAGCCTTTAAAGACTTCCGAACCTTTATTGTTTGCAGGTTTTCCGGTTTATGCATCCCCCCCGTCCCGGCGGCCGCTCTGACATCTTGCAGCACCCTTTTTGCATTTTTAATGGCGGTAATTAATTTTCATTTACAACGCTGACTTGAATATTGTCCATTATTCCGTCGTTGCATGTACTTGGCACACACACACATATATATATATTTATTAATGTATTTCTATGCGTTGCTGGTGTTGTTGTTGTGTTCGCATTCCTTTGCGTTTTGTGGCTGCAGCCTGAGTAAATTGTTGGATTAGCGCAGAAGAATTTAATTAAAATTGCAATAGCACAATCACATATAAATATTCCTTGTTGTTTCGTGTGTATATGTGTGCAATATTTATGTCGCCTTTTTCTTATTTGAATTCGTGACAACTTTGTTGCTTCGTAAAACACCTCCGAGCATATGTGTGATAAATATCGATATACTTTACCATCTGTGATGTTATGGAATCATTGCGAAATATCGAGTCTCGATCTTCTTATAAAAGCAAATCAATAAGAGATAATTTACTTTCAAGAATATTTCGAAATTAATCGCATATTTTTAAACAATTCTTTAGTTTTGAAATTATACAACAGATATCCAGAGCTGCTTGGAAAAAAATGTAGGATGCCTGGGTTCCTAAACCAAAATCGGAAGCTAAAGCGTAGAATAAATCAGACAGAATCTCGAAGCTTAACGAATAAGATTTTTTTTCTTTTAGAACATCCTATACTTGTATATCCAATTGTTGTTTCAACTTAAGCAAATTTTTTGGGTTTCTTTTTGAATAAATGGTTAATCAAAAAGTCTACATAATTTTTAAAAAAATATTCCTTAAATTATCGATAATATATGTTATTATTTATCGATATTTCACCTATTTTTTTTATCGATATGTTATCGATTTACAATTACAGCCTATAGAGTTTGAGTTTAAACCTAAAGTAAATAATTAAGAAAAAAAATGGAAATAAAATTATCGAACAAAATTTTTTGTTTAATTGAAAGAGAAGTAAAACATATCGATAACATCTATGAAGGAAAGCTCATGAGTTATGCTCTCTGAGCTAAACCTATGAAAATTTTCTAAGCAAGTAGCATTAAAGGAACTTGAACTAACTCTTTACTCTAATCATCGGTTTCTGTAGAAACAACGAAAAAAACGAAAATGAAAAACCAAAGTTGTGAAAACTCTCAAATCTTCTGCAAATTCCGGCGGAATGGCAAAATAAATTTTTTGCTTGCTTGCACGCTTTCATTATATCTACCTACAAGTATATAACATTGCATTAAAGCAAAGACAACGAAAGAGTAGGAAATGGTTACAGTTTTCTTATGGGCAAATACACAATTGTTGGAAAATGCTCTAAAAATGAAATAATTTTAGCTGATTGTTGCATTTGAATACCGTTACACAAGTGTCTGCTTTGCAGTACTTCAAATTAATTGCTTGTGCTACATTCAATAACTGTTTCAGAAGGTCTTCGCTATCGATGCTTGTAGCCAAGACTTGTCCGCACTTATGTGGCTACATGCACACAATTGACCGGCGGGCATTCCGAGCTGGACGTCCATGGGAACCTACAATGCATACACATGTACTTAGAAATATGATATACGCATACATAGACAGGTCATGCGGTAAGCCTTTGCCTACCTGCCGGCTCTCATGGATCCGCTTACCCAGTTCCTGGCCCGACCGCACCACTGCCCGCTCACTTGCCTATTTACTTTGGCATTCAGCTGCGGCATGCGGCAATTCTGCAGAATCACATTTCCACCTCGCTGCACAATTAAGTTTAATTAAAGTTTCGGAGCATTGTTAGCGGCGCCAGCGAATGCCATTACACAATGTTTTGTAAGCGGCGACTACAGTGCAGTAGCGCGCCGCAATGACAATTTGAATTTTAACTGCTTTCCTCTGGTGCTTTCACTTTTATGCATTTCGACTAAAGAGTGCTTGTAAATACCTGAATTATATTCCATTTTGTTGTTTACTAAGCCTGCATCGCCAACATTCTAACTGTTCTCTCTTCCTCTCTTTGCAGTCACGTCGTCCTTCGGTCAGTTTTACCGCCATGCCTCCCGGCGTTCTAGTCAACGACAGTCGCAGCAATTCCACCGACGATATACAAATCGCGTTAGCGCCACACATACAAACCTATCTAAGTCAAACGGGGCGACGGCATTCCTGCTGTAGCGTCATGTTGCCGGTGGCATTCGAACGCGCCTCGTCCAAATCGTGGATGGATCCCAAATTCGATTCACCCGTGCTGGAGGGCCAGTTTCAGACCAGCGTATTCCCACACGTACGCATGCGATACAGGTAAGGCACTGAGTCATTAAGTGAGTGGATGAGTACATGTGTGAGTGAGTGAATGTGTGAGTGAGTGAATGTGTGAGTGAATAGTGGCATTAGTGTGTCGCACAGTTGCCGCGTGTGTAAGCGTTGATTTCAAAGCGATTACGCTTCAATAAATTGAATTTCGTTTGTAAATGTGAATATTTGGAGAAAATCGCTTTGTAAGTGATTTTATTTGTACGAATTTAGTTGGCTTTGTAGCTCAGATAAAATCCAGTTTCTAGTCTTATTTTTGCTTTAAGCTTAAAAGCTCAATAAAATACTGCAATGCAAATGGAAAAGAGGAACACGATTTTTCTACAGAATTTTGTATACAATTGTTAAGAATTCAATGAAAGTACAATAATTTATAAATATGAGAACTAGAAAAGAGCCAAAAATTTCAGATAAAGATAAGAAGAAGGTTAAGCTGAGACTGTTCGGAGGCAAACTAGTTTCTTAGTTTTAGAGATATCTTAATCTAATTTGCAATACAAATAATTTTTCTTAACTAAATATTCCTTGAGTGGAACCAGCAAGATCGAACATACGTACTATATATTCCGTTATTGTTCAAATTATATATGTACAATACAACCTCATTTGGAGACTGTCCCAAGTTAAAATGTTTCAGGCTAGGTTACGGATTACAGTGTTTACGTCCTTACTGTTCCTACAATTGTACCTCAGGGAAACTCAACCTAATGGCTCTTTGGAAATAACTAGCGTGCGGATGAAACAACAAGTATAATAAAGTGGATTTACTAGGTCACAAGATAATATTGGCTTTACAGACTTAATTATGCGCTATTAATTTGTGGTTGGTAGACAAAAAAAGCAACGGCAGGGCTTCTCTCTTCTCTATATGAGAGCAAAAGTGTAAATTTATAAATCACGCTCATTACCTGAGCAAATTAAACACTTCACGTGCAAATAGTGCCAAGAAAAGTAGGTGTTTTCTACATATTGCTGCCTCAGAACTATTTTATGAATACCAAACACTAGAATTTCCACTGAAATTATATATTTTTAGCGCTGAGAGTAACTTTGAAAGCGTGGCACTGACACAACTTGTTGCATAAAAAGGTTCATTATAGGAGCCACACGATCTCTGCAATAGCGATTTATTGCAATTGTGTCGAAGTGAACTGCAACGACACAAACTTTGTAATCAAAAGCGTACTGAAACTGTAGTTCACACAACTTTAATTACACCATTTATCACGTTAGCTGCGCAAGTACTTCAGGGCGTATACGTGAATTTAATGCTTCAACAAGGAAGAACGTATGAACATATCAGCACTACATATGTATATAGATGTACATATGTATGTCTATATAGACTTCAACTAACAAATAATGTGTTCTTGCAGCTAACAAGAGCCGTTTGATTTTCTATATATTTTTTGGTTCACATTCAAATAATCAAGTGTTTGAATTTTATTTTTACCCAAACATACTGTTAATATTTTGGTTTCGAATATTATCGGAAAAGTATCCTAATTTTTAATCGAAAATTCTCACGTCACAATATTTTTATTTTTTTTTATTTCGATAGGCTTTTTTCATAAAAAACTCTACTTTCTGATGGTATTAAAAACAAGAAAAAGCAAGAAAAAACGTTAACTTCGGTTGGACCGAAGCTATAATACCCATCACCTGTTCAAGTTTTCCTCACAAGAACATAATTTGAGCGATCAGTTTGACTGGCAGCAATATGCTTTAATAGTCCGATCTGAGCAATATGTTCAGAAATTGAAGCGTTACCTTGAACAAGAATATTTGCCAAATTCCGTGAAGGTACATTGTCATATAAAATTTTTTTCACTACAAGAACTTGATTTTAATCGATCAGTTTGTTATACAGCTATATACTACAGTTTCCCGCTATTAGCGATTCCAATCAAAGGATAGCTTTTTAGGAATCTTCAGATCGATATCTCAAAAACTGAGGGACTGGTTTGCATATAAACAGACAGACGGACAGTCCGATGGACATGACTAAACTGCCTCAGCTCGTCACGCTGATCATTTAGGTATACATATATTTTATAGTCTCTTCGTTTTCTTCTGCGTGCTACAAACTTGATATACCCTGTTCATGGTATAAATATCCACATTACTGCGGTAATAACTAAATGACTCAAAGTTGACGAGAATACTGGTGAAATAACTAGTAGATAAAATTAAAAATTGAAATTTTTGAAAATTTGGAAATGCTTATAAAAATTTATTACTGTTAATTTGTGAACGTATGAATGTGATTTTTTACGATTTTTCAGCGCTTATTATATCTTGTAAAATATAGAAAAAAAGTGTAGCATAAATGAGGTCAAGCGAAGTAAAGTACGCCATACAGCAAATCTTTAAAAATTTAATATTCATTTTTGAAAAATGATACACGAGTCTGAAGCGCAACGTAGCTTTTACTACTCGGCTTGATTACTTTCCATTGAAATACAGATTTATTTATTTTTTAAGTGAATTGTACTTGCTTTAACAACAAGTAAATCGCTTTCGCTCAATCTACTTCTTCAGTGAAGCATGCGAAGATTTAAATATGCTACCAAAGTATCCCCAAATTTATATATGCATATTAGGATAAACACTAAGCCAGAAGCACAAAACACAAAATAACTTCACCACACTGCCACGAACTAAAAAAGCCATATGGTATTATACCAAACTGAAGATACTTTCATATTTATTGAGCCATAATGAAGACGAATGACCGTTCTGGTAATTATCCCCAATGAGGTAGCAACACGAAATAGAATAATGAAGCAAGCTAAGCGAACGAGTGCGTTATCTCGTGCATGTGGGTTCAGTAAGCCAGCCAAGTACAATGACTTCTAAAAATGGTGTTATGAACATAAATTGTTAGTTGTTAATGTTAACAAACGGTAATTACAGCAGGTAAACTGAAAAATGAGTGTGGGAATACAACCTTTAAGCACACCACTGCGTATACGCAACATTGTATAACTAATTTGAGGTCACACATGTGTGTCTGTGTATTAGCTTTTGTGAATTATATTACATGGTCAGTGCACTTGATATATTGCTAACACGACAGCGCTGTGTGTTTAAGCATTTTTAAATTGACGCGTTAGAATTCAACGCTCTTTAAACGCTTTACGACCCTTCCTGCCCTGGCCCCGCAAAGCAGCAAGCGTTGGTAATATCAAACTACAAAATACAGTTTATTACTAAATAATACTTCGCCATGTCAGCTTGGTCACTTTGGCAGTTTGCTGTTCTGTTTTACACTGCCTTTTCCTGCATCAATCACCAGCTCCTAAAAGAGTGCTTTAATTAATGTTAACCTAGTTAAAGTAGCTACTTAAATGTCAATTAACTGTCGTCCTTGATATACTTGTTGTGTGTGTGTGATGTGCTTAATGAAATGTGGCGCTTTACAAACTTTTTCCATTTCGTTTTGTTGTCTATTTACAAAGAAGCGTTTAATATTTATTGCCCACCTGAGCAAACAGTGCGCAACTATTTGTATTTGCCTGTATATTGTTATGAATTCGTGTGTATTTGTTTACTCGGTCGTCTTTCTTAATTTTACCTGTGAAATATTGCGTGATATGGCTTCATTAAGTTCAAGCTAAAGTTCGTAATTACTGGGGACAAGTCCTTTTTCCCCTGTCGAAAAATCAAAGAAATAATTGTCTAGCGTTTCTGAAAGTGTGAAAACTCGGGTATTGATGAGCAGTTACCGTATATATTATAGGAGTAATGAATTGAGAGAGCAATTATTAACAAGATATATGCGTATGGCATATGTATGTATATTTAAACCGGTTATAGAAAAAAACTATGAGCTATATTCTCATTGCATTCTTTGAAAACATGATTGTGAATTATAACTGGATTTCATAATAATGAAAATTTATGAAACAAGGTATTTGAAAAAAGAATTCTCACAAAGATTTAGTAGCAAGATTTTTAATTGGAGGCAGTGCATTAATAACTTGATTTTATAAAGTTTAACAGTAAGAATTGCAACCACAATCCGCCGTGATCCACACGCTTCAGGAAGAATTCTAAAATTTGTAAACACGTTTGTCTGTCTTAGAAAAGTCAGGAAATGTCCTCTTTTAGGTCTATTTCGAAAAATTAATTAGTCCTGTAAAAGCGACTTAGAACTTGTAGAAAACGACTAGTCTCATTACAATGAAAATATGCTACAAAGATATGATCGTAATGTATACATAGTTATATTAGGGTGGATCTCAAATTGGTATAAAAAAATTTCTCTAACATGTTTTACTTGGTCAGCCGGTAGGGCGGCTAACTGAAATTTAGCCGCTTGTTGGTTGGATTCACGTCTTAAAGATCTCCAAACGAAAAAAATGTATTAATGATACCTTTAACAATAGTGTCGCAACTTAAACGAATGAGACTGTAAAAAGTAGTTCTAGTAAATATATGTATATCTATCTCTTATAATAATTCCATGAGGTTTCAAACCCAAAATTTATCTGGCAATTATTATCATTAATTGTCTTTGTGAAGATTATTCCCAATAGTAATGGAATCATCTAGTTCACCAGCAAGCATTAATAAATCGTGCGCACAATTAAACGTACACCTAATGAAGGTGAGTAAAAATTGAGTTAACTTTACACATGCCAATAATTCAAGGCGCACAGCTGGCACACGTGTCATGCCTTTACGTGCATTTATTTTCTGGTAAATACATTGGTCGGTATGCGGTCCAATCACAGCTGTCACGTCGTTGACACATTGTACAACAATTCTACAAGCAATGGGCCATGCAAAGAGAACTTGTAAGTAGCTCCCACACCCCAACCTAATTTATTCTCGACAAATCTGGACAGCCAATAAAATTGAACGCTCAGCACGACAACCAAATCCGCATTTCAACTTATTTAGTGGGCAATTTGGTGAGTCGTTCGGCACACACGCGCTCTCGTTTTCGAATTGCATTCATTTAACGCTTCCGGTGCCGCTAATGCCGACTGATTTGTTTAGATATGTTTATTGTTTGGTGTTGATGGCTGAACATATCAGTTCAACATCCATCACTCCCTCCCCCTCTAATCAAATTAGGCTCTACGCGCGTGTGTGTATAATTAGGTGCCTCTGTGGGCGGACATAAGCAGGTCCGATACTGCCAATGTACCGTTATTTTTAGTAGCGACAGCGATAATCAGTGATAAAGGCAATTAGTAAAGTGGAAGTGGAAATGGGTGTTCAGGAAATGGTGTGTCAAGGCTAATTGAAACAGGCATTGAAAACCAAGACAATGTGAAGTTGCAGATTAAGTTAATATGTTTAAGACGTTGCATTTTACTTTAGTATTGTACAAAAACGAAAAGTTTGTAGTTTCTTCAAAAATATTGTTATTAGTTTTCCTCTTGAATGAAAACAGCCGATAATAAGCAAAATATTGGTAGATCAAGGCTCCTAAATAACTTTACCTCATGCGAAATTTGTTTCAAGGCTATGATACTATATTAAACAAAAAAATATTTCATTGAATCTTTATCCCTTAAAACTTTCCTACGAATGTCAATTTGCTTAGTTCTAGCAACGAGCTTTTTTCATTAGAAAGCTTCGATGGGTATTATTTTCACTGGACCGATTCTCATTAGTGAATTGTGCGCCAACATTTCTAGCAAATTCTCCCTGGTCTGGTCTGTTCCCGTGTCGAACGATTTATTTTAAGGCAAATCATTTGAATCGTGTTTAAATTATTATTCTGTTGGTGAAATTCATAAATTTAAAAATATTTTTTCAAATATAACCAGCTTAACACCCCTACATCTTACTCACATACACAGTATCTAATGAGATATATTCATACTTAAAAATCTTTCTCATTTTTAAATTTCATATTTCTATCTGGTCTATTTTTACGGTCCAAAGCTACACTAGCACCTTTTTTTTATAAAAATAATGCGGGTATTTCGATGGCTTGAACCAAAAAACCATCAAGTGGCGTGCCTTTGCAAGCTCTTCCAATCTTGTTTCTTATACATACGCCAAAAAAACACTCACCGAAAATTATGGATTCGTAAATAATATAGAAGTATCTGCTTGAGCACTAACTACTAGATATGTACAACTTACCTTAGTTAATTTAGATAAACGAATTTAAGAGGGAGCGATTTCTTAGTTCGAGAGTAAGTACATCTTAACTTTTTGCAACAATTTTTTATTCGTTGCATCATAAGCACTTCGTACCAAACCAATATTATTCTCAAGCCAATGTTCATTAAAAGTCCGTTCACGATGCGTTGGCAAAAGAGACCATTTGCACTTTGACCAGCACATCGGAGTATGTACGTGTCTCGCGTGACCTAGTGCCGAAGCGTGGGCACATTCACTTCATGCCTCGCATCCGCATCAAATTAACTTTAATTATGTGACACGAAATTGTCATTAAGTCTGGAATAAATGCGATGCCAAATTGACACAAACATTCACACCTCAATTGACTCTGATATCCTCTCATAACAAATACACAGCAGTTATACTATTCTCTGCAAGCCGAAATGGAGGCGACTCCTCCTTCTCATATAGGGTATTTGTCTGTCGCCTGTCGCATTTGCAAAATAATTCGACTTTGTGACATTGCCGGCAATTGGCATTGCCATTTGGACAATTGGAGCAACATATTTATATCTCACTGGGTAGTCAAACACATACAACTATTTTACGGATCTCCATTATGCAGATAATGGTCCTGCTCGACAACAAGAATGCTTGCAATGCAATACACAATTATGAGACTTAATTACTCGTAAATATGTATGAACACACATTCATGTGGGTAAATTGAGGAACTTATGCTTAAATTGTAAAAGATTTAATCGATGTGTGCGCTCAACATTTAGTAAACTCCAGCACATAGTTTAATAAATTACGAAGCTCTGAACTTCTTATCACGTAGAAATATATTTTTTTAGAGAAAAAATACCGTTGGAACCTCTTAATCCACTCTCTCTCTCTCTCTCTCCTTTTGCAGATTTGCGCTATCCTACATTTTGATCTGTTCACTTTCGTGGTTCCTGTACTTTCTGATTGATGGCGGCTCAGAGCATCATTGGCGCCCGATTTCGAGTGCCTTCTCAATGCTCACACTCATCACGATCGCCGCCTTGTGCTTTACGCACTGGGACATGTATCGCGCCTACCGAAGATTGACTTCCGCTCTCACAGCCATTGTGCTGTGTGCCTTCTCCTTGGCCTTCCTCATTTGTACTGGTCGCGCCTTTAGTCCACTCGGTCACTTCTCAATATGCGTATCGATCGTGCTGCTCATATACACAGCACTACCGATGCAATTGTGGCTGAGCGCCTTCATCGCAATCGTCTACTCAGTACTCTTCGAAGTCGCCTCACATAAGGTGGTGGGCAATAGCGCCACTCATGGCACCGCCACCGAGTGTAATAATAAAATTATGTTGCTGCGCATTCTACTGCACATCTGCGTTCACTTGGTGGGTGTACATGTGCTGGTGATGAATGTGGTGCGCATGCGCGGTATGTTCATGAAGATCGGACAGAATTTGCTGGTACGTCGCCAACTGGAGATGGAGAAGCAACTTAAGGAGAAAATGATACATTCGGTGATGCCACCGAAAGTAGCCGATATGCTGCTGAACGAGGGTGGGGCAAGCGGCATTGATACCAAAGACGGTGTAGTCGATCCAGATTCTCACTATGTACGACCACGCACCTCCAACGACCTAAAATCACTGTTTCGTCCATTTCACATGCATAGCATGGATAATGTGAGCATATTGTTTGCGGACATTGTGGGTTTTACGAAAATGTCCTCCACCAAGACGGCCGAGCAGCTGGTGGAGATACTCAATGACCTGTTCGAACGTTTCGACGATCTCTGCACACTGAATGGCTGCGAGAAAATATCCACCCTGGGTGACTGCTACTACTGCGTATCTGGTTGCCCGGAACCACGTGCCGATCATGCGATCTGCTGCGTCGAGATGGGTTTGGGCATGATTGATGCGATGCGTTGCTTCGATGCTCAGCGACATGAGGGTGTTAAAATGCGTGTCGGTGTTCATACTGGTACCGTATTGTGCGGTATTGTGGGCACACGACGCGTAAAATTCGACGTTTGGAGCAATGACGTGTCCTTAGCAAACAAGTAAACGTTTATAAATAAAATCCGATCAAACATAAAATGAGCCCCGTTTTCATTACAGAATGGAGTCTTCTGGTAAGCCAGAGCAAGTGCACATCTCTGAGGAAACATCCAATTTTCTAGGTGATGCTTATCTACTGGAGGAGGGAGAAGAAGTTTTCGGTAAGCTCAACACGATTATTTGTCAAGCTTGCAATAGTTTTAAATTTCCATTTTCAGGCCATCGCACATATTTTGTAGTCGGCCGCCGAAAAGATGTATCGCGCGCCAACAGTCTTAGTCCTAGCATACCCGCCAACTACGGCGGCAGCCACTTGCAGCTACCTGGCATACCTGGGCAACCAACACCGCTCTCGCAGAGCGCCACGAACATTTCGGTTATCCATCCAAATGTACCACCCGCCTCGCCAGTTGGACAACTTTCTTCCTCACTCAATCCCTCGCCAGTGCTTTCAATGCGGCCGCGCCTCACCTCGCTCAGTATGAAACTGCGCAAGAAGTCCCAAAGCCGTGAACGTGACATTGAACGAGGTATTGTACAGCCTGATGGCATGGGTGTAGCACCAGTTGTTGTGGTGCGTGAAAGACCAAAGATTATTATAACCACCAAGAGTCTACCTGGCAGTTTGGACTCTGCTGATGAACCCGACAAAGTAGAAGATGGCTGTTGTAATGGACTTAACGGCACTAATCACACCGCTCACAAGAATCACAACACAGAAGAAAGTGGGCGAACAAAGATTAAATTAAAGGTGTGTAAAGTGCCGCGGTTTTTTAAGAAAATCGAAGATATTGTCAAGCATACAGACAAATCATCAAGCACTGATGTTACTATTAATGTACCCAGCTCCAAGGCCACCGTCGTAAATACTGATGAGATGGTTGCATTCATTGAACCAAACGGTTACCATCAACTTCCAGTTGTGATTGAATCATCTAAGCTAGCAGTTTTAGGTCATACACTGGAAATACCAACACAGAAGCCCGTACTACACCATGCCGCCACCTCTACCGGCATCTCACACAATAACGTGCGTTCTCCTGACGGTAGTTGTTGCTCTCCTGGTCAATACTCCATGTTTGACGACATCATTGATATTCGCTCCTACATCAGTCAGTCGCGCAGCGATATCTCACCTTTCGGCCGTTCTGGTAGCTATCGTTCGCAGTGTGGTCGTAGTGGCAAATCGGAAACATCTCCTCTACCACGTCCACGCGCTTCCACGCTCACTTCCGCTACGGCCGACAAGGGCAATGATGTACCCGCAGCTCAACCACTAATCGCTGGCTGTGCATCGTTCCCTTATGCACCCACTACGACAGCCAATCATCATCCTGCGAATTCGCGCAATTCAAGCATCTGGCCGGATGGCCTTAGTATATGCCCATCGGCTACTTCGCGCAAGGATTCCGGTATCAAAAGCAACTCACGTCGCTCTTCGATACAACAACAAATTTATGCACTCAACCAATCCGCCATTAGTCAGCATCGCGTCTCTGGTTATTTTACCAGCTCGACATCAAGCATATCGAACATAGGCGATGTCACAACCTTGCCACACGTGGCGATTCCACCGATACCACAGCCGTTACCGCAAGTAGCTGATCCACTAGCAGCCTGTCTACAGCAGCTCCGCAAACAGTCCGATCTTCAATTGATACGCTGCGTACGCGATAACGCTAAATCTCAGCGAAGCTACTTAGTTAAGCCGCCGCTCAAACGTTTCAGTTTGTACTTTAAATCACGGCAAATGGAACGAGATTTTCGCTCCAAAGCACATCGTTTTGGCAATGAAAACGAAACCGAAGGTCCACCCACATTGGCAACACCCCGCTATAATACGTATATCGACATTTTTGTTGGTCTTGCAGTGTACCTGTGCATTTCCATCTCGCTCTTTCTTATGACGCCCAACACTGTTACGCCCAGCTTTCGTCTGTGGGTCTCACTCTTCACAGTCTTCACCGCTATACAAATATTTGCATTGTTCCTCTTCACACGACAAATGTGCCGGCGCCACAACTCACAAGCGCGTACGAAGGTCAACGACACGGACTCATGTGCCGACCGCATATTTGAAGCTATTTCCAGTTGGTACCCCTGGCATATATGTCTGGCCATATTGATGGCGATGCCGGTAATACTGATCATAGCCAACTTCCTTTTGCTCGATCTCAATCTGCTTGAAGCTTTCGAGTATCACTATGGCTTCTTAATATTCGTGTGCATCGTCCATTTCTGCAACTTCACACAGCTGAACTGTTGGATGCGCAACACGTTGGCACTAATGGCGGCTATGTGCTTTGTTGGCATTGCCGTAAGCCAACTGACAGTTTATTCAAATCGAACGGACGCAGCGGAGGCGGCAGCTATCGCACAAAATGCAACACGCTTGCCATATCCCGGTGCGGAGGGTGGAAATTACCTAATCGAAGAGATCAAGTGGTTTCAAGACTATCATGTGGAAATTTATCTAGATCTGCTGCTCATACTGGTACTGGTTGGGTTTTTGAATCGAGAGTTCGAGATCGGCTACAGACTAACCTTCTATGGTAACGCCGTGGCCAATCAAGACAAGATACGAGTGCAGAATATGAAAAACCAAGCAGACATGTTGTTACACAACATCATACCCAAACACGTCGCCGAACATCTGAAGAATACCGCAAAATACTCAGAAAACCACCATAATGTGGGGATTATCTTCGCCTCGATTGTAAACTTTAATGAAATGTACGACGAAAGTTATCTCGGCGGCAAGGAATATCTGCGTGTGCTGAACGAATTGATAGGCGACTTCGATGAGTTACTCTCGCGACCCGAATTCCGTTGTGTGGAGAAGATCAAGACAATCGGTTCAACTTTCATGGCAGCTAGCGGGCTTGACCCGTCTCACCGCGGCGAGAAGAATGAACACATTCACGCTTTAATGGAATTCGCTATTGCAATGCAAGAGGTGGTAGACGCATTCAACAAGGACCTGCTTGAATTCAACTTAATTCTACGTATTGGCATGAACATCGGTGATGTGACAGCTGGTGTCATCGGCACGAGCAAACTTCATTACGACATCTGGGGCGACGCAGTTAATGTGGCATCGCGCATGGACTCCACTGGTGTGCCGAATCGTATACAAGTTGGTAAGGACTGCCTGGCTTTTCTGGTAGACAAGTACGAATTTGAGCCACGTGGCAGCGTGTACGTTAAGGGCAAAGACCACATGGAGGTGTACTTATATACGATACGTAAAGGCGAGTGGGAGGAAGGCAAAGAGGAAAAGGAGGCTATGGAAAAGGGAGAAAAAACAGTAGCACCGGAAGTAACAACAGGAGAAACGCCAGTGGAACCAAACGGTGTTGTGAAAACAGAAAACGGTGACGTTGTTGAGGAAGACAAGGACGTGCTCTCAACGAACAAGGAAGGAACCTAAAAATCTTTTACAACGCAGTGATCTGTGAATGGTAAAAAATATATATTGTTGAATATTAAGTGCTGTGATGACGAATGACTATCTGGCGATGCAACGCTCCATGGTCAGGAGGAACGCGTAGAGGCTTAGAATATTAAGTTGAAATAACTGGTGATACGTGTGAGCCATTTGAAAAAATATCAATGTGAACTTAATTTCGCTTACGCTGAAGTAATGCGTGTGACTGCTGAAGGTGCCGTCGCACATGGGTCCGAGGCCTTACGAACTAAACGGGTATAAAGAATGGAAAGGTTTCATAAATTGCATTTATAGCGAGAGTTTAATAAGAAAAAATATAAAAAATGATACTTGGATATTCGATTAGGCAACCAAATTGTGATATTGCAGATAATGCTGGGCGTAGACTAAACGGAAAATGTGTCGTTGACAGAAGTGGCTTGAGTGCATAAAATTATTTAAAGTAAATTATTGTAATAAAACTGGCACTTATGTAGGAAGTAGTTTTTCTTTTTGTTGGAGAGTGTCGAAAGTTGCTGAGAAAAATTATGAACTTGACCGTTCATAAATTGTGGTGTAAAGAAATTGGCTAAAATGCATGGATACAAACTTACATAAACTAAAAGCTGTTATTACACGAAATTTTTGCATACATACTGATATCAATGTGGCTTTCAATGTCTTAGCGCTACTTAATAGAAACCAAATATATTTAAATGAAAAAATGGTAGATTGAGACAAGGGATTTTAAAGAAGCAACACATGTTTAAAATATTACATAATTAAATGCATAATGACTCATTATATAATAAGCCATACCTATGCAAAATGTTTAAAAATTATGCTAAGCAGAAAAGAAAATTCTTGTTGTTGGTGAGAGAGTAAAAAATAAATAACTTGCCAATTTGAGCACTAATAGTTTTTATTATCAAAGTCTCACTTTTCTAAACCCCTTTTAAATTTGTTTTAGAAATTTTATTTTTTATTATTAATTTTTTTTTCAATTTTAGTTCATGTTTTTTTATTACTTTTTATTTGATTTTTTTTTGCAATTTTTTCTATAGGTACTTATTATAATTTTTTATTTTATCTTATGTCTTTTTGTTTTTTATATTTCTGTTATCTTTTTTTATCTTTTATTCCTATTACTTCTGTATTTTCGTGTTTTTTATGCATACCGCTCTTAATTTTTTAAATCTCTTTTCTCAACCCCGTTTGATTTCTACTGAAAACCAAAACTTTTTCCCAACTTAAGCAGCTTAGCACTAAAAGAACAACAACTAAAATCTAACAAATTTTTTTAACAGAATGTTCGTCACATTTTCAAAAGGGACATGGAATATACATATACCAACTTACTTTCTTATATACTACATAAAAATATTGAAAATAGAAACTCTTCCAACAAAGCACCCCTACTAGCCAATCTAAAGCACACAGACAGAGATAAATGCAACCTCCTGAAGAAAGGAGGCATACTTTCATGAAAACTTATATTTTACTCAAAGCCAAAAAGAATTTTTTTTATATTTGTACGATCAGCAAATGAAATCATTTTTGTACATTTCCTCACTATAATTTAAGTCTTGTAAATTTTATATAAAATAGTATTTTACAATGATATTGCAATTAAATATATATATATATATATATATAACTAAATAAATATATCTATGTGAAAGAAGAAGCAGAAAAGCGAAAAATTTCTTCATAACGAGACCTATTATGTAAATTTTTTAACAATATTAACGAACTAAGAGAGAAAACTGACGCAGCTGAGAGAGTGAGCAGAACTAGCACAAGGCAAAAGTCGTGCACATAAGCTAAGTTTTATTTTCAAGGTTTATAAATTCTTTTTATATAAATATTTATAAACAAAACAAAGCACATACATATATGTAAATGTTAGCAACATATTTTAACTAGATTTTATGTGAAGAATTCTAAAAAGTTAACTATTTCTTAGCGCAATGAAAATTAGCATATTCATTATATATTACACACCATATATTTACACATACATACACTTATATGTACATCTGTATGTATAGTTGTTGTTAGTTTCTTGTATATACATATACTATATTTACTCTATACACACTCAGAAGAATTATATAATATATAAGATTGTTGAACGTGGAATAAGAGTTTTATGCGAAGAATGTTGAATTTGAGAAAAGTTGAAGAGATACATCCATTAAATGTTAACCCCAATTAGTATTTGAATTGTTTGTGGAATATTACACTATGAAATTATATACTAATAAATTAAATTAACTTAAACTAAATTAATTAAAAAAAGCAAATTAAAACCAAACACTTTTGATTATATTGCGTATGCCTGACTTCTGTAATATACATACTATATCACAGTATATACATACATACATACGTGTGTACATATGATCTGAAAGTCAGCGCGTAAGCTCATAGTTACCACAAACATTTGATATTTGTTCATTTGATTGCCTTTGCGCGATGCAAAAATGTTGAAGCCAAATTGTTACAGTTATACGCAAGTGTGTAGCTGTGTGCGAGTGTATGTATATAGTTGCATCACTCCACTATAAATACATATTGCCCTTTGTAAATTATTTATTACGTTCAGCTATATACCATTTGTATGTATATCTTGTCATAATTATATAGTAGCCGATATTTAGAAGCCCTTGCAATTGCCCAAAAATTATTTTCCATATTAAAATAATTAATTGTAGCTCCTAATATTATAAGAAAATAACTGTTTTCATATGTATATTTGTAAGTCTCCCTAATTGCTGAACTATTTTTTACTAAATTGTTTTTTTTTTCTTTGTTTTTTAGTTTCATGTATGTACCTCCTATTTACATATAAAAGTATGTATTTAAATTATTTTAAGTGAAATGTTAGCGAAAAAATAATAATTGATTTAACGAAATTTATAACAAAAAACACACGAAATATGAATGAGTAATACAGAAAATACATAACTGAGATTTTGTGTCTAAATGTGAAATAGACTTGTTTTATTCTAGAAAAAAATCTTGGAGTACCTGACAATGTATCTAAGGTAAGAATATATATGTACATAAATAAGTTTTTATACGAAACAATTTTTCAAGTAAAATAATGATATTTATTTAAACATACATATACAATATTTAGCATTTTTAAAATATTTTCTATTTCTAATGTAAGAAATAACCTTCAAAACTGTGGTGCGTACATTTTCATACAAAAGCGCACGGGCGCCCCAACATGCTTATTTTCTTATTTATTTGATCAGTTTAATTATTTATACAAATAAATGCCCTGCAGAGAGAAGTCAGTTTATATATTTATGTGTGTTCTTTATTATACAATACATATTTATTTACATTCATTTATAACTAGACCAATAGCGAACAATACAAATATATACATATATATTGAATATAAAAAATAAAAAATAGGAGTCATAACAGATACAGCCAACACTTTAACGCAAAAATAAACAAAAAATCTATTGTAGGTACACTTACTAATTCTAAAAGAAGATTTCATTTCGATGCAAAAGTGCGAAAGCGGTATGCAAGTAATTTAAAATAGATTACGAGTAAAATAAAGGTAACTACAGCATGAAATGCAAGAAGCGATCTTACAATAATCAAGAATCATTTAGAATATCCTTTAGAATTGAGCTGGAATTGCGCGACGGTGCAAAGTCATTCACCAACAGAGGCTGGATAGGAATGGGCGCTGGTATACTGGTGGTAGCAGCAATTGCACCGCTGTTGCTAGATGTGGATATGCGGCGGGCGGGCTGACTGACTGAACCCGCTGGCGAACTACTTTGTTGAGTAATGTTCAATAAATTGGGCATGTTGGCGTCATCTGGCTTAGGCTGTGACTCCTGTTCGAGAAACTGCACAAAAGCCTGTACCAAATTATCCTTGGAATGTACACCTGCAAACGAAAAATAGATATTTTAGCTATAGTTTGCATACTAAGCCTTCAGAAACTGTTACCTTGCGCACTTGCGCTACCGCCCAATATGCCACCCAGCCAACTCGACTGCTGCTTATTCAGACCCACTTTGTCCGATTCGCTTTGCGAAAAGTCCAACACAGACGAAATCATTCGCAGCACTTGATTCTTGTCATTCGGATTGCTGCTAACCACATAGCCGATCAGCAAACTCTTTATGAGACTCTTCTCGATTTTGTCCGACTGACTAGACTCGCTGAGCTTCAGCTTCGTGGATAGCTGCTGATTCTGTTGCTTTAGTGTTTCAACTGTGGAGAAATAATATGCACGTAAGCGAATGATATTAATACAAGTAATGGAGAAGATAATAAACAAAAAAAAAAAAAAGAATTTTAATCAAGAAAATAATAAAAATATTAAAGTATTTAAATTATTTAGTGAGTTAATTTTCCAAGCACTTCTCTTTGCAGGCATTCATCATCATACGTTTAGTTGGTTTTTGCTTTTGTTTTTGTTTAATTTTTCCAGCGTTGTTATTTTTCATGCAGAATTGGGCGTGGCATCCGGGACAGTATGACATAAGTACTGGTAGTTTTAACAGGCGATAGCACACCAGTACCTGATGTAATACTCAACCGGACGAACGCAGCTAAAGAAGTCGAGTGACACATTCAGCATTCGTTGTGAGAGGATCGGACTTTTGTGTACTTAAATGAGCTATTCTCTCGCATATATGTCAATTGTGGGTAAGGTTTGGAACTTGGGAAACTTTTTTACATTTGTTCACTTTAATTTTGTTACAATTTCAAAAATGCGTTGGGAACAGTGGTAGCAAAAAGTGGATGGCAGAAAACGCAGGCAATGTATGCAAATAATTATGAAAGTACTAAATCAAATTAAAGTACAAATTAACTAAAATCAATTCAAATCATATGTTTTTTAATTGTGTATATAAAAATAATCATCAACAACAACAACAACAAGTAGAACAAAAACAAAATGTAGAAACGGATGCAACCTCGGGCAATCTCCATATGCAACGTGAGTTCAGCATATCGAATTCGCTCACAGTTACAAATTGAGATTAACCAATTTTGCATCGGACACTAGGGACGCAAAAAAGTAGATAATTCGAGTAAATAAATTAAAATTCAAATGTAAAAAAATCAAATTAGAAATCAACATAAATTATACTAAATTAAGTACAAATAGTCGGACATAAGAGGAAGAAAATTGAAAGAGCAAGTGACTAGTAGCTAAAACGGTAAATTCGAAACGAAAATACGTGTGTAGAAAAGGACCTAAACAAAGAAAACTGCATTATACAGTACTTATAATTAGAAATGCAAACTAAGTAATATATTATCTGGTCACGTTTGTCTAAAACAATACAAAAGAAAGTAAATAACTAAAATAGACTATATAAAAGTATAAATAGCAAAGTAAAGTTCACGAATATATTGAAACTATAACTATAACGGCAAATAGTCTTGATAGAAATGGAAAAAACGAGAAGTAATAAATTGTAAAAAAATTTTTTTTTTAATAATTTTAAGAAAAAAGTTTTGAATTTGAGTTAAAGAAACAAAACTTTAACTAATTCAGTAGCTCTAAACTGAAAGCAAGCTTTATGTTGATGTTCGATTTCCATTTTTTAACTTAAAGAAGATATTTACTGGCTTTACACCCGTTTTCGAAGAAACGAGTTATGGCTGATTCGCATAGAACTTTTGGTTCACTTGGCGTCAGACATTTGTTTTGACAGAAAAGTGCGATATATGTTTTTGCATGAGTACGTACACATCGAAGTGAAACGCAACAAGGCGAAGCAAAATGTTGGGCAATTCTCATCGTTTAACGCTTTCAGTTTTATTAGAGAGAAACACTGAATGCAATGCGTTCATTCTACCCTTTGCTTTCTTCGCCTTGTTGTTAAAGTAAGAATTGGCACGCAAAGCGAGGAAAGCCATTAGCGACAAGATAAGAAATCGAAGATGCTGCAAACTACGAAAATATTCGAAAATCTTACTATAACACTACTAACAAATACTTAGAAGTCTTTCTCAAATTTTAGCATTATTGAAGTAACATACAATATCTGCTGGTTCTAGTAATGGATTTATTTTTGATATTCAACTTTTTGCGAGTCACTTGACAGGAAGAAGCACCTGGGGATATTTTTACAGTGCAAGCTTGTTTAAATAAAAAAATCAATCCGAATTTAAGGGCGCCTTAAATTAAATTAATTATAGACACATTGGTGCATTTCATTTGCTCGGTACTATATTTTTCTCAAGTCGAGATACTATTTAGTAAAAGCGTTGGACATTTGAGAAGTTTACTTTTCAACTTGAGTTATAAAATTTAAAGAGATTCATTGAAAAATTTAAATAGATTTTCAGCACCATTTTTTATTTAATTAGTTCTATTTTCTCTTATCTGCTAAAGCGTGTTTGTAAGCTTTCAAATTATTATTTATTTTTTTTGCATTTAGAGTCTTATCCACAACGTCTTGTGTACTCAGAAATATAACAAAATATAATGGAAAACTTACTAGCTTCTCACCTCAAGATTGCTCTATAATGATAGTAGACGGAAGGCAATTAACTAAACTAAAAGCAATAACTTTTGAAAAATAAAAAAGTACAGCAAAGTGCCTGCGCAATAAGACTAGATTGACACTTATATCAATGTTTTACTTATATTTCGACTGAGTGATATAAAAATGTTAGTATGTATGTATGTATATATGAATTTATGTGTGCATAAGCAATGATCAAATCGTTATATAAGGGTAGCAGCGCATTAAAGGCGCCAAGAAAATCACAAATTTCCATTCAGTCAAAACTACGGGGTATTACCAGTGCAGGTCATAGGTCACTTAACGTTTGAACGCGCCATCGATGTGCGTCGGTGAGGTTATGGGGAGAGCGCCATCATAATTAAGGTGATCGATTATGGATTTCTTAAGAGCGTAGCAGTGTGACAGTGAATGATGACAGTGATTTCATATTTTTTTTTTATTATAAGTAAAGCGAACTAAGTTATTGTACTTTGATAGATATGGTGCTGTTGGTGATGTGATGATGCGCATGATATTAACATATTATTGTGTTTTTTTAAACAATTTTTGTTGGGTTTTTCTTTTGCATTGCGATGACTACATATAATTCGTAAAAGTGTATACCAACTGAAATTCCGAGTGTTTGAAAATTGATAAAATCCCAGAATTACCAGCTGATATTTACCTTTAAGAATCAATCAGCGTGGCTTAAGGGAAACTTTAACTTTGCAACAATGTCAACAGTTTTTTTTTATTTTTATTATTAATAAACATTTTTTTTTCATTTTTTTTTTTAACTATTTTCCTCAAAGCGTTTACTATTTAGAAATAGTTACTCGGTTCGTTAATGCCAAATGCCAGTTTGCGTGCTGTTATTATAGATTTCCCTTATGGCTGACGTGGTACATGGTGGTTGGGTGCTTTGGTGGTGATGGTTAGTAACAACAAATTCCAGTTCATTTATTTGCATTTAATATATACGTGTACGAGTATAATACTCGTATTAAATACTTTCGCATACGGTTATTTGCATTGGGTTAGTATACAAGATGCAGTTCACCAATTTTCGAATACTTTTCACCGGTTTATTTACATTTTATATACGTTTAGATATGAACACTATATTCACCTTCTTCGCGCAGCACTGCAATTGTGCGTTGACACGCCTCCAACTGGTCGCTAAGCCGTGCCGCGGCGCACAGGCCCTGCTTGGCCTCGCTCAGTTGCTGCTGCAGTGCGCCGATCTCCGCCTGCAGCTGTGCCTGCTTCTGCTGCTCTTGCTGCAGCTCCTTGCGTATGCTGTGCGTGGCGGCTTTGATGTCGTTCTGCTTGTCTGTCGAGGCAGAGAACAAAATTTTAGCAATTGATGAAATATTCTAGTCATATCTGCTTATTTTTGCAATTATTTTTCTCATTCTGTCGATTAGCCAACTCACCATTTTGGAACTGTTCGAGTGCGCACTGCAGATTGCATAAAGCCGCCTGAT